CAGTGCTGAGGGAGCACCACACTGTCGGAGGGTCAGTGCTGAGGGAGCACCACACTGTCGGAAGGTCAGTGCTGAGGGAGTGCCGCACTGTCGGAGGGTCAGTGCCGAGTGTCAGCAGGCCAGTATTGGGGAGAAAGATAAATCATCCCCCACCCAAGTCGTGGTCCACATAGGCACCAACGACATAGGTAGGAAAAGGGATGGGGATGTAAGGCAGAAATTCAAGGAGCTAGGGTGGAAGCTTGGAGCTAGAACAAACAGAGTTGTTATCTCTGGTTTGTTACCCGTGCCACGTGCTAGCGAGGCGAGGAATAGGGAGAGAGAGCAGTTGAACACGTGGCTACAGGGATGGTGCAGGAGGGAGGGATTCAGATACCTGGATAATTGGGGCTCATTCTGGGGTAGGTGGGACCTCTACAAACGGGATGGTCTACACCTGAACCAGAGGGGTACCAATATCCTGGGGGGGGAAAATTGCTAATGCTCTTCGGGAGGGTTTAAACTAATTCAGCATGGGGATGGGAACCTGAATTGTAGCTCCAGTGTACAGGAGGTTGAGAGTAGTGAGGTCATGAATAAGCTTTCAAGGTCGCAGGAGTGTACTGGCAGGCAGGAAAGTGGATTGAAGTGTGTCTACTTCAATGCCAGGAGCATCCGGAATAAGGTGGGTGAACTTGCAGCATGGGTTGGTACCTGGGACTTCGATGTTGTGGCCATTTCGGAGACATGGATAGAGCAGGGACAGGAATGGTTGTTGCAGGTTCCGGGGTTTAGATGTTTCAGTAAGATCAGGGAAGGTGGTAAAAGAGGGGGAGGTGTGGCATTGTTAGTGAAGGACAGTATTACAGTGGCAGAAAGGACGTTTGATGAGGACTCGTCTACTGAGGTGGTATGGGCTGAGGTTAGAAACAGGAAAGGAGAGGTCACCCTGTTGGGAGTTTTCTATAGGTCTCCGAAAAGTTCCAGAGATGTAGATGAAAAGATTGCAAAGATGATTCTGGAAAGGAGCGAAAGTAACAGGGTAGTTGTTATGGGGGACTTTAACTTTCCAAATATTGACTGGAAACGCTACAGTTCGAGTACTTTAGATGGGTCAGTTTTTGTCCAATGTGTGCAGGAGGGTTTCCTGACACAGTATGTAGATAGGCCAACAAGAGGCGAGGCCACATTGGATTTGGTACTGGGTAATGAACCAGGCCAGGTGTTAGATTTGGAGGTAGGTGAGCACTTTGGTGATAGTGACCACAATTCGATTACGTTTACTTTAGCGATGGAAAGGGATAGGTATATACCGCAAGGCAAGAGTTATAGCTGGGGGAAAGGCAATTATGAGGCGATTAGGCAAGATTTAGGATGCATAGGATGGAGAAGGAAACTGCAGGGGCTGGGCACAATTGAAATGTGGAGCTTGTTCAAGGAACAGCTACTGCGTGTCCTTGAGAAGTATATACCTGTCAGGCAGGGAGGAAGTGGTCGAGCGAGGGAACCATGGTTTACTAAAGAATTTGAATCTCTTGTCAAGAGGAAGAAGGAGGCTTATGTAGAGATGAGGCGTGAAGGCTCAGTTAGGGCGCTTGAGAGTTACAAGTTAGCCAGGAAGGACCTAAAGAGAGAGCTAAGAAGAGCCAGGAGGGGACATGAGAAGTCTTTAGCAGGTAGGATCAAGGAAAACCCTAAAGCTTTCTATAGGTATGTCAGGAATAAAAGAATGACGAGAGTAAGATTAGGGCCAGTCAAGGACAGTAGTGGGAAGTTGTGCGTGGAGTCCGAAGAGATAGGAGAGGTGCTAAATGAATATTTTTCGTCAGTATTCACACAGGAAAAAGACAATGTTGTGGAGGAGAATACTGAGATACAGGCTATTAGACTAGACTGGATTGAGGTTCATAAGGAGGAGGTGTTAGCAATTCTGGAAGGTGTGAAAATAGATAAGTCCCCTGGGCCGGATGGGATTTATCCTAGGATTCTCTGGGAAGCAACAGAGGAGATTGCAGAGCCTTTGGCTTTGATCTTTATGTCGTCATTGTCTTCAGGAATAGTGCCAGAAGACTGGAGACTAGCAAATGTTGTCCCCTTGTTCAAGAAGGGGAGTAGAGACAACCCTGGTAATTATAGACCAGTGAGCCTTACTTCGGTTGTGGGTAAAGTGTTAGAAAGGATTATAAGAGATAGGATTTATAATCATCTAGAAAGGAATAATTTGATTAGGGATAGTCAACACGGTTTTGTGAAGGGTAGGTCGTGCCTCACAAACCTTATTGAGTTCTTCGAGAAGGTGACCAAACAGGTGGATGAGGGTAAAGCGGTTGATGTGGTGTATTTGGATTTCAGTAAAGCGTTTGATAAGGTTCCCCATGGTAGGCTATTGCAGAAAATACGGAGGCATGGGATTGAGGGTGATTTAACAGTTTGGATCAGAAATTGGCTAGCTGTAAGAAGACAGAGGGTGGTGGTTGATGGGAAATGTTCATCCTGGAGTTCAGTTACTAGTGGTGTACCTCAAGGATCTGTTTTGGGGCCACTGCTGTTTGTCATTTTTATAAATGACCTGGATGAGGGCGTAGCAGGATGGGTTAGTAAATTTGCGGATGACACCAAAGTCGGAGGAGTTGTGGATAGTGCAGAAGGATGTTGCCGGTTACAGAGGGACATAGATAAGCTGCAGAGCTGGGCTGAGAGGTGGCAAATGGAGTTTAATGCGGAAAAGTGTGAGGTGATTCACTTTGGAAGGAGTAACAGGAATACAGAGAACTGGGCTAATGGTAAGATTCTTGGTATGTGGATGTGCAGAGAGATCTTGGTGTCCATGTGCATAGATCACTGAAAGTTGCCACCCAGGTTGATATGGTTGTTAAGAAGGCGTACAGTGTGTTAGGTTTTATTGGTAGAGGGATTGAGTTTCGGAGCCATGAGGTCATGTTGCAGCTGTACAAAACTCTGGTGCGGCCGCACTTGGAGTATTGCGTACAGTTCTGGTCACCGCATTAAAGGAAGGATGTGGAAGCATTGGAAAGGGTGCAGAGGAGATTTACTAGGGTGTTGCCTGGTATGGAGGGAAGGTCTTATGAGGAAAGGCTGAGGGACTTGAGGCTGTTTTCATTAGAGAGAAGAAGGTTAAGAGGTGACTTAATAGAAACATACAAGATGATCAGATGATTAGATAAGGTGGACAGTGGGAGCCTTTTTCCTCGGATGGTGATGGCTACCACGAGGGGACATAGCTTTAAATTGAGGGGTGATAGATATAGGACAGAGGTCAGAGGTAGGTTCTTTATTCAGAGAGTAGTAAGGGCGTGGAATGCCCTGCCTGCAAAAGTAGTAGACTCGCCAACTTTAAGGGCATTTAAATGGTCATTGGATAAACATATGGATGATAATGGAATAGTTTAGGTTAGATGGGCTTCAGATTGTTTTCACAGGTCGGCGCAACATTGAGGGCCGAAGGGCCTGTACTGCGCTGTAATGTTCTATGTTCTGTGTTCCTCCCCCTGCAGGTAACACAGGTGATTCCCCCCTTTCCCAGAGGAAGATACAGTAATCGGGTGAATGAGTTCCACTGGTCCCACCCTTCCATTCAGTTTCACAAGGGAGCTCCGGCATGTTCATTTCCAAGCCTTATGTGTAATTGGTGATGATTTCCCTCTGGTTTACTGGAAGCAGTGATCTTGGACTGTAAAAGCGCGACGGTCTGTAAATGATTGCCACTGAAAAGGCTTGCACAACGGAAGGAGGAAAGTATTAACCACACACCTTGCGAAACTTGGCCAGCATCACTTCATGACGATCAAAACGTTGAAAGAATTCCCCCGTCCACCATCGATGAGATCACTGTTATGAATGAGTCATCACCCGGGAACTCTCCTTATAAAAGGAAGGGTTGGCTTGCTCTCTCACTCATAAAGCTCCTGTTCATTCCTGGAGAATGCCTGCAGACACAGAGTGCAGCATCTGCTACTGTCCCTATGCCAGAGGAGCTCGATGCCCCAGGGTCCTGCCTTGTGGGCATACCTTCTGCAGCCAATGCCTCCTCGCCCTCCTGTCCTTGGCGGAGCCCGGGAACTCAGGCCTCTGCCAGCTCCTTTGCCCCCTGTGCCGTCGGCCTGCCCAGGCCTGGCCAGAGGGGGACAAGCTCCCGTTCCCCGTGGACCCGGCTCTTGATGAGCTGATGCCGACCAAAGGAGGCCTGGAGTCAGGTGTCGAGGGGCCGAGGGCAGCTGCCAAACGAGGGCCCAAGTGGTGGGTGAAGAGCCTGAAGAGGAAGCTGGGCCTTCGGGGTCTGAGACACTCAAGCACTGATGGTGAGGAGAAGGGGGTGGGTCATTGGTCAGGGCTTGGGAGGTGGGTGCTGGGTGGGGTTGTGTTGTATTGAGGTTTCTGGTCTTTGCTTTTGGATCGAGTGATTGGCACTGAATCCACGTGGAGATCAGGTGGGAAGGCCGAGGTGAGGTAGGAGATCTGCTTAGTGAGTGACCGAGTAGCCTAGAAGGGCTGAATGGCCTCCACTCATTCACAAAGGTGAATGATGCAGGAGGAAAGCAGTCAGGGCACCTGACCACATCAATTGTGAGTTAAGATGAAGTTTAAAGGTGCTCAGGTCAAAGGTGGCATAAATTGCGAGATTGGGGAAAGCAGCAGTAGGTCGTTCAGGCCCTCTCTCCCTATCCCTCCTTTCCCTCGATCTCAGGGATTGAAGGTGGCATTGCCACCAAGTGCGACGAGATCAGGGATGAACTTAACCAGCCAATGTGACACTCTGCCCCCGATCTCTACCCTCATCCACCCATGCTGAGGTAAGAACGTGTAATTCTCACTCCATTTCCCTGACCACTCGCCATCCTAGCTCCATCATCCTGTCTTTGGGTGATACCCTGGACATCAGGGTGCTGCTTTTGCAGAGGAATAGCCATGATAATTAACTGCTGCTACTTGGCGAATGAATGGCAAGGTGAGCAAAGATGGTTTTGGGCTAAATCCTTTACTCCCAACAACACCCCATTTCCTCCTCCCCCTCCCCACCTCCCACCGCACCCCCCCAACCCCCTCTCCCCCATAGCCCAGCCTCCTCCAAAGAAACCTGATATCCATTGCTAGGGAATGAAGAGACCCCAAAGCCCTTCAATCAAGGACATGTTGAACCAATTCCACTGAGACCACAGTTAAATACTATGAAGGCTAGAGCCTTGTGGTGAACTGGTCTGACATGGGGTGCCTACTGTCTAATACAGAAATGCATCTCAGTTGATTAGGGGTTGGTTGGCTCGGTTGTCTGGATGGCTACTTTGCAACGCAAAATGACACCAGCAGCATGGGTTCAACTCCTGTATGGGCTCAGAGTACAACTTTCTCAACCTCTGAGGTATGGTGACCCTCAGGTTAAACTACCATCAGTCCTCTCTCTCTCTGAGACAGCAGCCCTATGATTCTCTGGGATTATGGCCATCTTATCTAAGGAGAGAGATTATGATCCAGAACAAATGGGGCAATTTTAAAGGGAGCACAAGAATGGAGAGACTGGGGGGATATGTACAGAAATCCTTAAAGGCTCCAGCTATTATTCAGCAGATTATTCATAAAAATGTAGGGAGTGCTAGGTTTTACACAGAGAGGCATAAAGTCTAAAAGACAGGCTGTTGTACGAAACCTCCTATGAAACGTTGGTTAGTCCCAAGTAGACTTCCAAAATTCCTTCAGGGAAGTTGGAGAACCTGGGACTGTTCTGCTTGGGGCAGAGAAGGCTAAGAAGAGAGTTAATCGTGTTGCTTTGTAACCTGGAAGGGTTTTGATAGCGTGAATGAGGAGAAACTGTTTGCACAGGGTGGAGTTTTGGTAACCATGGCGACACAGTTTTAAAACCCTATCGCAGGAAACAGCTTGAGGCAACACGAGGAGAACGTGTTTAACACACAGCAAGTTGTCATCATGTGAAATACACTGCCTGAAAGGGCAGATTCAACAGAAATTTTCCAAAGGGAAAATGTCACAGGTAGGGGGAGTGGAGGGAGCTAATTGGATGGATCTTTTAAAGAGATGGATTCTATGCCTGGTGTGCAGTGCTAGTTTAACTCTAGTCAGTGTCAGTTTATGGGAGGAATGGCCCTGTTACTAATTCTAATCTCCATTTCTGAACCTTTCAGCTCTGTGTGTGAACATGCGCGATATGGTTCTGATGGCGAGTTTTCATTTGATGTGAGCCCGAAGACAGCCTAACCCTAACCAAACCACCCCTGCCCTGGCGTGAAGCTGGAACATATGACAGACTAATCGGGGCCAAACAGAGAGCCCAGGGACCAGCAAAGGACGGTCAAAGTCCATTCCCCGCAAGGACGACTGAGATTGTGTGAGCAGCCAGTTTCCCACTGTACCTGACACACTCTCCCATCCTCCAAAAGCAAAACCAAAAACTAACCCTTCCTGGAAGAGGAGGTGCTTTGGCCTTCATCATTTCTTTCTCAGGCAGCAGGCTGAGATCAGCCAGAACCCGATGTCAAGTGACCGTGGGACCCACAGTAGGGGTTAGCTTCAGGCCCAGGCCTACGTTGCTTTGCTCAAAACTGGGCCTCTGATAAGAGCGTTTATGATTTGTTCTTTCATTTTGTTTTGTTTTGAGGGTGACACTGGTGGAAAAGTGTGTGATCTATCCCTGGAGTGTAATATTTGTGCCAGGTTTTATGGTGAGTTTGAGTCCCTGAATATAAACCGAGGTAGTCTTTCAACCCCCAGCTCCCCGCAAATTGTCACCACACCATCCTGTTACCATGAGCGACACTGAAGACGTTTAACTGATGCTAACTACCTAGCATTGCGGCTTGGGTTTTGTTTTAGAGTGGTGTTTTGATGTTGGCATGGCAACGGCTCACTGGTCTGCCTCAGTTTCATAGAAATCATAGAATCCCTACAGTCTGGAAGCAGGCCATTTGGCCCATCAAGTGTACACCAATCCTCTGAACAGCATCTCACCTAGACCCAACTCCACCCACCCTATCCCTGTAACCCTGCATTTCCCATGACCAATCCACCTAGCCTGCACATCTTTAGACCGTGGGAGGAAACCGGAACACCTGGAGGAAACCCATGCAGACACAGGGAGAATGTGCAAACTCCACACAGACAGTCGCCTGAGGGCGGAATTGAACCTGGGTCCCTGGCACTGTGAGGCAGCAGTGCTAACCACTGTGCCTCCCCATGTGGCATATTTCCAAATCCGTGAGTCATAATGTTTTCCAGCACAGGGGAAACGACTCGTTAATGTTTCATCAGCTTTTCAACTGGCCAGATTGCCAAAATGCTTCAGAAAATACGCACCAGCTTTGGAAGAGCTCAAAGCCTGTGGCAGAGCCTGTCTCGACACAGGAACAGGGCTGTAGTCCGGGGACGGAGGGGGGTCCTATTCATGCAGTAGGAGAAGGGAATGAAAAAAATACCAAATTCAAGTTCTGATGAAGAGGCACCAGACTCGAAACATTGACTCTGCCCAACCACCTGAGTTTTGCCAGTAATTTCTGCTTTTGTAACCAAATTCTAAAACTGATTATTACTGGGCTATCAGCAATTGTTATTATGCCCACTCCCTTCCCAGTTTTATGACATGTTTTTGTTTACCTCCCTAGCAAACCAGTCAACTAGCCCCTTTTCCTAAATCCAATCTTTAAATAGTTAACAAACTGAAGAAAATTGGCAGGGGTGGGGGAAGAATGCATTTTTTAAACATAAAAACACTCGACCCACATTTTACTTCCTTTTGATTAAGCAATATTGGAATCGTGTGGTTGAAGGTCAGCAATGTTGGGCTAAATGGCTGCCTACTTCTACTGTTTAAGTTTATGATTATTTAGTTATGGACAGGGAAATCCCCTTGTGGTTCCAGAGGAAAGCTATCAGTTCCTCCCACGTCAGCTACAAGCATGGACACAATTAAGAATAATCCCTTCTTGTATCCTGAATAACTTCATCATCCTGTACGGTTGTAAACAACGCACACCAAAGGGCTTTACTGGTTAGAAATGGTCAAATCGAAGGACCTAATGTGTGCTACCATTGAGGTCAAATTTCACCCCATAGTCAAGTTCATTCGTGCTTTGCTGAGCAGCAAGGATAGCAATGTTACAACCTATGATTTCCAATCTTGGCTCCTCAGTATTATCTTGCATTTTGTAGTGAATTGCTTTGTGACTTAACCAGCACTGTAAATCATATCATATTGGTATATGTACAGAATTTGTATCAAACTGGAAGAAAATAATTGTGTATTTAATTGTTATTAATTGTTTTTTAACAAATAAAAAGACTTCTTGTGAAATGGGTAACTTTTCGTCAATTTTGTTTGATCATGCCGAATATTCCCCCAGCTCTGGAAAATCTTCTGGATACTTTTTGAGGGTTGCAAAGACTATTCCCTCTGGTCTCAGCGCCATCCCTCTGATCACCCATGGAAATGCTCCCAGTTAGTCAGACGAATGAATGGTCTGAACTGACTGCAATTTGGATGGGGGCTGGGACTGCTACTGACCCATTCAAAGTTCACAGGACTGAGGAGTAAGCCATTCACCCCCATCAAGCTGATCCAGTATCCACTGCTGTTTGTAGAAGAGAGTTCCAAATCTTTGTGTGTAAAAATGCTTCTTAACATTTCTCCTGAATGGGCTGGCCCTAATATTTAGACTAATGATTACAAAAGTCACTAGTAGTAATGTTTCTGTGTCTGAATGAATGTGTGTCTGTTTAATGAAGTATTTAAACTCATCAGTACTGGACTGTACTGCTACAGTGCGTCTGAAAGTCTGTTTTAAATTAGACACAGTGAACTGGATGAAAAGGTGATCTCAGAGTCCATTAACCCCATTAACCTCATCAACGCATCATTCTCCGCCACTTCCGCCACCTGCAATCTGACCCCACTATGAAGGATATATTTCCCTCTCCATTTTTATCTGCCTTCTGTAGGGACCGCTCTCTCCGTGACTTCCTTGTCCACTCCACACTCCCCACTAGCCCCACCACCCCCTGCACCTTTCCTTGCAACCGCAGGAAGTGCTACACCTGCCCCCATACTTCCCCATTCACCTCCATCCCAGGCACCAAAAAAACCTTCCACATCAGACAGATGTTCACCTGCACATCCGTTAATGTGGTCTATTGTATCTGCTGTTCCTGATGTGGCCTCCTCTACATCGGGGAGACCAAGCGGAGGCTCGGAGACTGTTTTGTGGAGCACCTGCGCTCGGTTCGTGACAAATGACAACACCTTCCAGTCGCGAACCACTCCAACTCCCCCTCCCACTCCCTGGACGACATGTCCATCCTGGGCCTCCTCCAGTGTCACAATGAAGCCACCCGGAAACTGGAGGAGCAGCACCTCATATTCCGCCTTGGGAGCCTACAACTCAATAGTCTCAATGTGGACTTTACTAGCTTCAAAATCTCCCCACCCCCGGCCTCATCCTAAGACCAGCACCCCTCTCATCCCCGCCTCCTTGACCTGTCCGTCTTCTCTCCCACCTATCTGTTCCACTATCCACCTTCTATCACAGCACCCCCTCTCTATTTATTTCAGAGCCCCCTTCCCCTCCCCCATTTCTGAAGAAGGGTCCCGACCCAAAACGTCAGCTTTCCTGCTCCTCTGATGCTGCCTGGCCTGATGTGTTCATCCAGCTCCACACCTTGTTATCTCAGACTCCAGCATCGGCAGTTCCTACTATCTCTCAGATTCATGCTGTTAAGTGTCAGAATGACCTAAATGTGACAACAGCATGAGCAAGGTAAGTCTGATGCCAAAGTTTGTTAAAACCAAGAGCTCATTCTCTTCCCATTGAATACTCCTAATGAGGAACTGATTAAACCGATCACGGTGGATGACACATTTGTGATTTGCGTTAGTGGTCAGGCTCGTCAAATTGCTGCATGTGCCTTGGTTGATTGATATCCAAGTAAAGCTGATGGACCGGGGAAGGTGGGAACAAAAGCTGACAGCTCCTTGTGTGATCTGCAGCCTGAATTGGCCAACCCCATCCTGAGTTGACACGGCGTGAGGACCACTCTGTGGTTGGGGGGGTCACGCAGTCAGCATTCTGTGGAGGCTGGTCACACGCAAGTGACTGGCACAGCAGCTTTGGAATGCACTGCCCCAAGCCTGCTCATATAATGAGGAGCAGCATAAAAGAAAAGGCTGCACAAAGTGAGCATTGACCCGTGTCCCTACAAACAGCAAGAGCCCTTCTGAAGTGTATTTGAGCCTGTAAGTAGCTCAGGTGCAGCTACCCTGGCAAAAACAACGCGGGGGGAGGCTTTGGTGGGAGAGACATGAGTGTAATCTGCTGGGCCACGGCCAGTCCGCTGGGTTATAAACTCCACTGGGTTGAAAGTGGTGACAGTCTGAATCCCCAGAACTCTCCAGCTCCACACTGCTCTGGGATCCCATTCAGACTGAGAGTTTGGTCAAGATCAGCAAACATTCTCCTGTGAAGGGAGATGTACTTTCAGACATGCCAGGTCCTCACTGGCCAATCCACCCTGAAACTGAGTGGCCTTTCAGCAAGCCTCGAGTTTAACTTCCGGATAGGCATTCGGGAAGGATTTGTCCCCGTAGCAACAGCCCACCAGGATGGGAAGTTTTAAAAGTTGACAATATTTTCTCGCCCCATGCATTTTGCGAAGAAACAGTCTGAGGGTAGAACTGTTAACCTGACTACAAACATCAAGTAGGGTTTGTTTCAAATGCTTCATTGGTTGCCCATGGGCTAGGAAGGTAAGAGTTCAGACAACACAGTGTGGAGCTGGAGGAACACAGCAGGCCAGGCAGCATCAGAGGAGCAGGAAAGTTGATGTTTCGGGTCGGGACCCTTCTTAGCCTGCTGTGTTCCTTCAGCTCCACACTGTGTTGCCTCTGACTCTAGCGTATGCAGTTCTTGCTATCTCTAAGAGACCAGACAACTTGCCTTGCATGGAGCTGAAATTATACAACATCACGAAATTCGCGTCTGGAATGTGCTACCTGAGATTGACGTGTAGGCAGGTTCAGTTGAGACTTTCCACCAGCCTTGAGCCTGTTATCTGAAGAGGATAAATGCACAGGGTCATAAGGTGAAGTTGGGAAATGGCGCACGGTGAATTCTTCTGATAGTAGAGACCTGATGGGCCAAATGTCCTCCTTTGTGCTCGGAAAATAAGCAATAAACATTTAAAAGAAAAATGGGGTGTGGATTGGGAAGGGAAAGGATGAGACTGAGTGGACCCTGACTGACCGATGTAAATCCACAATTATCTTTTCACAATTTTCCAATGTTGAACACTAACACATATCCTCTTACTGCACCTTCGAAAGAGACTTCTCAAACTCCTCCATCTATTTCTCTTCCTTTAACTCCAGAATAGGAGGAGGCCATTCAGTCCCTCAAGGCCTGCTGATCATTGTTTTTCTGGATGCTAGCCCATTGGCGTGGCTTAGGTCTATGACAAAACAAAAAATGACCTCACTTATTTTGACATTCTTGAGTTGACCACTGTAGCCTCAACAGTGTTTTGAGGAAGAATGTTTTCAAAACTACATGCAAGAGAGCGATCATTCAAGAAAGAATCCATTCTACCCACCATGCCAGATCAGTTCTTTAAAAAAATAAATACACTTAAGTCCCACTGCCTCATCTGCTCTCCCCTCACCCCACGCCCCCCACCCACCACCCAAAACCAGATCTCTGCAAATTAATCCTTATGAAAGTTCCTCTTGAATCTGCTTTCAACGTCCTTTCGGGCAGCTAATTCCAGATCAAATTCGCTGCCTTATAAAACAAATTCTTCTCCCCCTTGCTTGATTCTCTTCAATCTGTGTCCCTTTAGTCACTGAACCACCTACCCGCAGAAACAGTTTCTCTTCAGTCGCTCGATTGAAACCTATTTGTGATTTTGAACGCCTCGATTCCATTTTCCCTCATAACCTTCTCTGCTCCCAGTTTCTGCAGTCCCACTATGTTATTGCTGGTCTTTTTGACGTTGACCTCATTGAAACAATACAGGAGATTCTTTAACAAAGCCATGAGCTGAAAGAGGCACAGCGCAGCAAACAAGTGCTGTTTGCATTGTCTCTACTGATGTGCATTAACAAGGGGACTCGAGGGAATGGGAGATGTGGAAAATTACAAGATTCTACACAGCAGGTAATTCAGCCAGAGCTGTCACAGTTGCTGCTGAAGATCGTGAAGAGCTAATCCCGAGCTTGAGATATTTCCAGGAGAAAGAACTGGACATTTCCCTCTTCCCTCTGCCATGAGGTACCAGAAGTTGACTCCAAAAGCATCCAGTTGTCCTGTTTAATTCACCAACACTCCTGATACCCTGGCAGCAGTGTGGAAGGTAAGGACGCAGGGGTTTGTTCTTGTGTCTCGTTCTAATACTTGTGGGATGTCATCCAATGCTCCTTGTAAAAACTGCAATCTCCAAGCCAAGGCTATGGGAATGAATAGGAATGGCTGATGTTCAAATGGATTATAGATCAGGACAGAATGGGAAGGGGTTTAGGCTTTGGGGATCCTATGCACACGAGCATTAGAAGCAGGAGGAGGCCATTCAGCCCTGTTTTCCACCATTCAATAAGGTCACTGCTGATCTCACTGTGGTCTCAATGCCAATTTTTCTGTTTGTTGCCCCCAAACTCCCACAACCCCAGCTCCCTTACCGATCACCAGATCACGACTGGCTGTGATTCAGTGGAATTCAGCCTTTAATATATTCAATGACACAGGCTCCACTCTTCCCTACGGTAGGGGATTTCAAGACTAGGGGGCATATTTTTGAGGTGAGAGGAGGAGGATTTAAAAAAGACATGAGGGGCAAGTGTTTTACACAGAGACTTGGTTTGTGTACCAAATGATCTTCCAGACAAAATGCTGGATGCAGGTACAGTTACAACATTTAAAAGACATTTTGATAAGTACACGAATAAGAAATGTTTGGAGGGATATAGGCCAGGAGCAGGCAACTGGGACTGGTTTAGTTTGGGATTGTGGTCAGCATGGACTGGCTGAACCGAAGGGTCTGTGTTCATGCTGTGTGACTATGATTCTGGGCAAGACAATTCCACAAACAGACAACCCTGAGGGAAAATAATCCTCATTGCCATCTTAAGTGAGAATCTTCCTGTTTTTAAAGTGTCCGCTTGTTCTAGTCTCTCCCATAATCCTCTGATCATGCATCCTGTCAAGTTCTGTCAGGATTGTGTGTTTTCAATAAGATCACTTCTCATTTCTTTCTAAACACCCTAACACTTACCCTAATGGATAAAGGCCTAGCCTTTCCTCATAAGAGAAA